GAGACATGGGCAGACATTGGAGACATGGGCAGACCTAAATCATTTCAATTACTGCAGGGGCGTGTACAGGGGGGGAGGGGTCCAGGGGGTCCGGACCCCCTCCCTGCTCGCGCAGAAAACGCATCTGAGGGGGTCTAATTTCAAAAAAATTCGGGGGGAGGGCCCCCCAGACCCCCCCTTCGCGTGATCATCCCCCCCACTCCTCGGTACGGATTTACGCCCCTGGTTTGTGGGTCTGTGGGGATGTGTACAGCCTAACTGGAAATGTTATGGACGGATTGTCATAAAATTTTCAGGATACGTCAGAAATGGGCTAACTTAGAATTGATGAGATTTTGGCGGTGATCCGGATCCAATTAATTCATTAATTAATTCATTAATTAATAAAATTTTCAGGATAGGTCAGAAATGGGGTAACTTAGAATTGATTACATTTTGGTGATGATCCCGATCCAATTAATCAAATTTTCAGGATAGGTCAGAAATGGGGTAACTTAGAATTGATTACATTTTGGTGGTGATCCGGAGCCAATTAATTAATTAACTAATTAATTAATTAATAAAATTTTCAAGATAGGTCAGAAATGGGGTAACTTAGAATTGATTACATTTTGGTGGTGATCCGGATCCAATTAATTATTTAATTAATTAATTAATTAATTAATTTTTTCACTTAATTAATTAATTAATTAATAAAAATTTTTACAGTGAGAGAATTCAGCTGCCTTGGCGGAGGTCTGCGCTCTCCGAGTGCTCTAGTTTTGTTTTATTATACTTTTAATGTGGGGTTTTTGGGTGAGAAATTGTTATTTGTGTAATGTTATATGTGATAAATCGAATGATATATGCAGGGATGAAATTCTTCCGCGGATCCGCAGAAATCCGCGGATTTGACAGTCCCAGGGGTCGATTTTGTGAAACGTCTAAATTCGTTGAGAAAATTGGGAGGGGGGTAACAATGTAACAATTTAAATTATATACCCTCAACAGCACCTGACTGTAGACTGTAGAGTGTAGACAGTAGTAGGCTGACAGCGAAGTATACAGTGTATCTGTTTTTGCGTACCAGAAAAGAAAATCCTCGTTCACAGGCTGCAGTAGAGGGGCAGACATTTGAGATAGCTGATCACGTAACGACCATGCCTGGCCTGGGGGCCGGGTTTACATGTTGCTGCGTTCATGTTGTGTGCATGACTATGCACTGATTCTTCCATTCGCATTGTGTTTTTTTCATTCAAATCTGGTCGCAGCAAGGCAGCTTATGTCTGAGTAAAACAATGCAAGTGACGGGTGGAAACAGAAAAATATCATTATGTCTAGACATTTAATCAAAAAACTTGCCCTATTTTCAGCCCCCTCATTTCCTATTATAGTTCGTTTGTTCCTTTTGACAACTTGAAAAGGTGATTCAAGAGTCTCCTATAATTTGTTCAGAATAGCTTAGAATGCACCAAATTGCACCATTCTTTTAAAAAAAATTCAGGGGGAGCATGCCCCCGGACCCCCCTAGCATGGCCATGACCTACGGTCCTCGCATTGCTCGCTCCTTTGTTTGCTAATTAAAATTTCAGCTGAAAATTAAATTATCCAATCTCATCCCTGTATATGTGATAAATCTAATGCTATATGTGATAAAGTCAACCATAAAACAAAAATTATGAAACATAAAACATGCCATACTAATGCGTAACTTTTAGACTGCATTCGATTGCTTGAAAGCAAGTGATATGACGTGCAGTTTAATGAGAGGATGGTGTGATTAGTAGATCTTTTTTTATAATTATAAAAACAGGATTATTATTTTAATTAAATATTATAATTATAAGAATTAATGTAGTGCCTGTAGTCTGATGAGGCGAGCGGAACACGCCACCTTACCATCATGCCTTCACCCGTTCTTGCCCCGCAGGCATTTTGATCTTCCGGAGGAGGAGACCCAGAAGAGCCGGCTGTTCAGTGTCGCAGATTTTGTCGGCGATGCCTGCAAAGTGATCGCTTCACGCATCCGCGGTTCCGTCATCAGCATTCCGTTCGACGACTTTCACAAGGTGAGAGACGAGTGTGTGTATGAAACAGCATCGCCCATCAGCATGTCGTAATCACGCACAAACGTTGAATGACATTCGTGGCGGTCAACGTGCGTGCATGTAAGGATGAGCTTGTTAAGACCTGTTTTGCTTAGTATTCTTAAAGCGTTGGCCACCGGCTGGATGTGTGTGTGCATGTGCATGTGAGCCACTGTCCTTAGCTACTATACTTCTTTCATTCGTGTTCCTTCTTTATCTTCTTTAAGTCTTTGTGGAATTCAAATTTGTAATGACAATTCTCAAACCTAAAATGCAACGTCATTTTACTGCATAATAGTAATTTTTCGTTTAACGTGAACGTCACGTGTCATCTGCATTAACTCTCACTTGCGCCATCTTTTGGCAGAATTCGGCGAAGATCATCCGCGTAGCGGTGTTCGGCATGGATGCTGAGATGAATGTGCGCAAGCACCTGTGTTTTGAGCAGAACTCCCTGTTCATCACAAGTGTAGACATCCAATCTGTGCAGCCCCTCGACCAGTGTATACGCGATTCACTCATGAAGTCTGAGCAGCTAGCGATAGAAATCACCACCAGCTCGCAGGAGGCAGCAGCCAGGTCAGGAGCGACAACACGTGCTCACCTCGTGATTTGGCACGCTGTCCATCTGCTCACTTTCTTCTACGTCAGTTCCGACCATACCCTCGCTGGTTTGCCTGTTCACTCATTTGCTCATTCACTCATTCGCTCCCTCGCTCGTCTGCATTTCACTAATTTATTCGTATCCTTCCTTATTTGTTTAATCACTCGTTGATTAGTCTGCTCGATGTTTTGTAGTCTTACACATTTGCTAATTTGTTTGTTTTCTCCCTTACTTTATTGTAAGGATTTAAGGAATGTAATTCAGCATGACTGCTCATGTTGAATTATTGAGATATAAGAGATGTGATAATGAAGAGGGTTTACCTCATTGCAGGCATGAGGCACAGCGTCTAGAGCAGCAAGCAAAGGGCAAGCTCGAGAGACAGAAGATCATGGACGAGGCAGAGGCAGAGAAGTCGAGGCGAAACCTGCTGGAACTACAGGTGAGCTCACTGCTTGTATTCCCTCCTACGTTTCTGATGTCCCATCTGTACAGACTTGTCACTCTGTAAACCCAACAAATTGGCTCAATATCTGCTGATTCCCTGTGGATTCGAACAAGTGGGGTCCAAAGAGAGAAAGATACACTGGGTGTAACACTGAGAAGTGTCAGTGTAACTCAATCTATGAGTGATGTCTCGAGGGTTGTCAGTCTGTTACTCCTGTATTGTAATCTCATGAAATCTCGTCCAATAATTGCTGCGTATGTGTGTGACATCCCTGTACTTTTACCTCTCATAGGCAGTCAGTGCAGCAATTGAGAGAACCGGCCAGGCGCAGGGTCGTGCAGAAGCTGAGAAGATTGGGGAAGCTGCAGTACAGCAGGCGAGACTGAAGGCTGAAGCCATATCAATAGAGGCCGTAAGTAAACTCACTAGTGTACACCTGCGATGTTCTTAATGCCTTGCGTTAATGTAATAATGTATCAGTGTATATCTATTATAGCCAGCTTGCATTTCTCTTTTCAAATAATTGTGCGGAACGTAACTGGGTTCGCAAGGTTAAATGGGTACACTCTGCCGGTCGTACAAACTCGTGTTTTTTTCTGGTGTTTAAACATGCACTGTAGACATCAGAGCTGCAGCGTCTACAGAACGCCAGACAAGCTGAGGTCCATTATGTTCGTGAGCAGAACGCTCTTGAGGTGGAGAAGAGCCGCATTCATAGCAACATCAAAGTGGAGGAGTTTAAATAGACATTTTTTCAGAGCAACATCAAACAAACAGAGAAAAAGAAACAAAAGGTGGACGACGACGAATCGGCCTGCGAGTAATTAAGGACGTGAAGAGAATGTGTGGTCTATGCCCTCGATGGCTCTTGGTCTGTAGTCGTTATGGCATTCAGAGTGGAAGGATTGGTTGGAAGGGCTTCACAGAAAATAATGTGTTAGATAAGAGAATGCATTACATGGGGGATGTCGTACAAGAAAGAAGACTGTGTCACGTGAGGAAATTTGTAAGATGAGGGGATGTCACAGGAAGGATTGGACACACACAAGAAAGTGTCACATGAAGGAATGTATCAGATAATTATATATAAGTGATTGTACTGGTAAGATATTACTATATTTTCCAATGGTCTGGAGTTTATGGGTTTTTCTTACTGATGATTAAGTTTCGCCACTGATGATTTTTTCTGTCACTGCTTGAAAGGAAGCTGCCTGGTTAGCATTTAGTCAGCATATATACTAATCGTATATATGAGCAAATTTGTGTACCTATCAACATAAAACTACAAACAACAAATTAGTATACTGCAAATTCATTTACTTTCTCTTAAAGTTTATACTGAATAGAACTGATTATGATCAATGATTTCTTTGGAGTAGGTAGCAGGTTCTCCGAGACACATGTAAGATGTAGGTATTAGAAACGTGTATGTGGAACAGACTATAGTGTATCCAGGCAAAAACTATCCCATTATTTGACAAATACTAGCATATTATTTGGCAATACAAATATTACCATACAATATACAATATACAATATATACAATATACAATATACAATATATACAATATACAATATTACATTACAATATACAATACAAATATTGTTTGGCGAAAACTATCCCATTATTTGACAAATACTAGCATATTGCAGACGAGAGCCGGCCCTTTTGTTTAGCAGGAAGTGGCCCTTTGTTCATTCTGATTCAAAGTTCTGTTGTTTCGAAGAGTGTAGCCGATTGTATAGGTGGGCAGATCATTTTTGCTCACCAGTCGATTGTCAGTGCACCGATGTGGGCGGGCACTTATAGTAATCGTGTGTGACATAGATGTTTCACTATCGATTGAAGTTGTTGAGGTGTTGTCACACTGTTCTAGATGTCGCGTGTGTGAGGGAATAATAACTGGAATTAAGAGGTCAGCTGTAAAATGTTTCATTCGTGTTCAGAAGCCACAGCTTTCGTGATGCCTCGTGTACACGCACGATTTTCGGTCACGCAACTACAATGTCAATGATTCGTAATTTACTTTTACCATTCAATACAAATTATGGAGAATATATTCATATATAATAAATAAAATATTAAACAGCATATCTAACTGAAGTTTTTTAAATGAAAGAAAACATTCTGTATATATATAAGCAACATTTTCTGTATGCTATTAAGATGCTTTGTAATATATAATTAACGACATGCGTAACGACACATATATGACGTATATGCATATACATCATACGCACGAACAATACGCACATACACGCACACACATACAAACACGCGCGCACGCATCCATGCACGCACAAATTGCGCCACTGCCACGATAGGCTTTTACACAATCATCGTTATATGTCCATTTCCTTATTTTCTATGACACGGCGCATGTAGGTGCAATCACTTTATATTTTCAGCTGATCATACATACTTATGCCACGTCAGCGTCATTTTTCTGATATACACCCAGAGAACAGCGATAAGTATAATGAAATGTTAATATTTTAAAAGCAGCCCACGTATAGAGTGGGTATTCTATTCACGACGGCAGGATGTGACCAGCCTTCATTCATAAAATCGCGTGCCTCGCTGGCATACATATTTCGTAGTTTCTTAAGTTATGAATGCTTACATGTAAGCACGCGTGTAAGCACGCGTGTACATGAACGCACGCGCGTACACACGATGGTCACACACCTGCACATCCTTAGCTGCGGCTTAGCAGACACGCACGCGCGCGTGTATGCACGCACGCACGCACGTACACGTGCACAAATGAAGCCTAGCTATGTCTCAAGTTATCTTCTTACCCTAGGAACCGAAAATCGAATCGAGGCCGCAAGCCGTTCCTCATAGTTTATTTACAGATTGCATTTAACACCCGCTACGTCGAATTTGATTCGGTGTAGAGTCAGTCCTGTCGCGCAATCACACACAGCAAACGCTGTAATGCCAATGTAATGCTATAACTAAGGGCACGCGAGCGCGTACGAGTGGCGTGTGAGCAGGTGCAGCTGTGCCTGCATGTGCGCGTGTGCATTCGTTTACATGTTTGCGCGTGTATATACAAGCGTAGTAATGAGTGTGTGTGCGCATACACGCATGTGTGTACGCGCGTGTACATGTGTGGTGCTTCAAACCGCATATAATCATATATACTAGAATGTAGTTTCTGAACAGTGTATGAGCACGTGTTTACTTGAGGATTGTACGCACGAGTACTTATCACACATCTCTTGGCTCCCATTCCCACCGTCACGCAGTTAAACTGAATATCGTTAGCATGCAGGCCAACGACTTAAAGTGATTACGTCACCGAAAATAGTAAAAGTAAAAATGTCTACTTTTTCTCAAAATGCAAGCGATTACATTGTACAATCTTATCAGGTAAAAATTCGAGGATAAATTTAGCGCCGTTAGTACTTACTTTTCCTGTAAAAAATTGCAACAAACATTTTACAAATGTACACCATAGAAAATTCGTGACGTAGTCAATTTAAAGCTGGGAAAATCTATGATCAAAACGGATTTAGATCATCAACACGAATGACATGAATTATCAAGTAAATAAACGATGACATATTGTACACACATGTTACAATATTCAATGTTACGCCGGTGTACATCTTCTGGTTTCATCTGTACACTAGCTCTAGATTAATTCGCAGAAAATGAGCGCACATTGACATCACATATGCGGCTTTCCCCCATTACATGGCTCAGCGCGCTCTCTTTGTATATATGTCCCGTGCTCTCTCTTTCTCTCTCTCTCTCTCTCTCTCTCTCTCTCTCTCTCTCTCTCTCTCTCTCTCTCTCTCTCTCTCTCCCTCTCTCTCTCTCTCTCTTCTCTCTCTTCTCTCTCTTCTCTCTCTCTCTCTCTCATCTCTCTATCTCGCTCTTTCTCTCTCTCTCATCTCTCTATCTCGCTCTTTCTCTCTCTAGCATCCGTCGGGGGTGCGGATGTTTCACTATGCATGGCACTGCTCCCTTCTCATTTTCGCTCGTTCTCTCGCTTTCTCTCGCGCTCTCTCCGCTTTACCCTCGTTTCCTTCTCCATGTCTCTCATTCTAGCTCTCTTGCTCTGTTCTGTCCTATCTCCCACCTTCAGTCCCCACTCCTTTCTGTTCCTTTTGCTCTCACGACTTTCTCTCTCTCTCTTTCTCTCTCTCTCTCTCTCTCTCTCTCTCTCTCACTCTCTCTCTCTCTCTTTATTTATCCTTTTATTTGTTGTGTCGCTCCGCACATTCGAGCAGAGTAACTTTCCCCCGGGCGTAGATTGAGGGTGCCGCTACGTGGCAGCACCAGTGTTAAGATTAAGTAAGATCAGTTAGTGTTAAGATTAGTGTTAGTATTAAGGGTTAGGGTTAGGGAAATAAGGGTATAATAATATAGGGAAATTATTATAAACGCCTTGTGCAGTGACGTCATAAGACGTGATCACGTGCCCTCGATCTACGCCCGAGGGAAAGTGACACCCAGTAACACGCTGTAACCACTACATGCACATCTTGATGCACATACATATGTAACGACATGATGCCGTATAGTACATAGCTGCGGTTAGTAGTCAATACATGGGGTGAACGCACATGCGGCTAGTAGCCAGTACACAGTACACATGGCGACGAACGCGCGCGCTATGTGTAAACATCTCACGAACGGACATGCTGTATGCTTTAACATCTTGCTATCTATTCGCCGGATTGCTGCAGACAACGGCAACCGCCATGTTGGAGGCCATGTCTGGCACGAGTACGCGTGACCTACCTACGTCACGTGATGCGTCACGGTGTATGTTTCAGGCAGCCGGCTGAAAGGGGTGGTAGGATATGTTTACTAAGCACTTCTAATTTTAACATATATTTTAAATTTAATTAGGGTCAGGGTTAGGGTTAGGGCACTTTTTAGGGGTTTTTGCATCATTCTTTAATATATCGTAAAATATATGTTAAAATTAGAAGTGCCTAGTAAACATATCCTATCACCCCTTTCAGCCGGCTGCATGTTTCGGTCGAGGTACGTCACTTGACACAACATCCGCGCTTGCTTACCGCATGCAGTTATCTACCCAAACATCGCCGCACACTCACCTCAACCCCTTACACGCCCGCCACCCGCTGACGGGGGAGTGGGAAGGTAGGAGGGTAGGGGGTGTAGGAGGGTAGAATGGTAAGAGGGGCTCATCGTCGAGAAACAGCAGCAGCATTATTGTGTGAAACGGTAAAACTTTATGCTCCGCCCGAGAGGGATTCGAACCACCCGGCTCCACCTCTCCAGCGGGTTTTCCGAAGGCGTCCAGAGGCTTCACCATTCAGTAAAATGGCGCGATTGCTTTACCTCACACTGCAATGCTACCGACGGACGAGGTAAGGCAAAAAAAATGTGCGATTCGACCTCTCGAGTTCCCGTCTTCCAGTCTACCAGTCGTGCGCTACCCGTGTAGCCTCAGGCACTTGGAGAGTTTCAATAAAACATAATGCTAAATAACTACGAAATATATTTACTACCAGTCTTAATGTTTCTCTACTCTCCTTCACCTATTATTGCCGACAAACCGTGCTGCAAATGCTTCAGCCACTGCAACACACGCCCACCGCACGCACGCTGCTACGCGCTACTGGCAGTACTGCACACTTACACATAAATATAGAGTACTTAACACTTACACACATATCTATTCAATATTGATATATATATATACAATATTGATAGACTCCTGATTATATATATATCAGGAGTAGATAATAGGGAATTATTATTAATAGGGAATTCCCTATTATCTACTCCTGATGTATATATATATATGTGTGCGTGTGCGCGTGCGCGTGCGCGTGTGCGCGTGTGTGTGCGTGTTTGCGGGTGTGTATGTGTTTGTGTTTGTGTGCGTGTGCGTGTGCGTGCGTGCGTGCGTGCGTGTGTGTGTGTGTGTGTGTGTGTGCGTGCGTGTGTGTGTGTGTGTGTGTGCGCTCACTGTGTGCGCGTGCTCGTGCCGCGTGCGTGTGTAACGCAACATAACGTTGTAATAACGTTTTCGTGTTAGCTAGCTGTTATCTAAACGCTGCTAGTGATAGGATATATGATGTTATACAAATAACGATATAAGTAGATTATTCTAAACAAATATGTTTCATATATTTTGTATTATTATAACATATTCCATTATATTCACGTATTATCAAGAGCTTATAATATTTATATATTAATGCCTGCTGTTGGGGGCACTATGCTCTCATAGTGTTGCTGAGGGAAGGAATAGTGCCCGAGCGGTAGCGAGGGCACTATTCCTTCCCAAAGCAACACTATGAGAGCATAGTGCCCCCAACAGCAGGCATTAATGTTTTTAGTGCATCACATGACTATGCAATCTACTTTTCATGCGTATATACCTTCTTTATACTCCCTAATTTGCCGGTGCATTCGATGTAACAAAACGCTCGACACAAACACAATCGCCATTAATTCCAAAATCTTGCGTGGCGCCCAGACGCAGGAGATTCGTGACGTAAACACAATGCGTTATAATAACAATGCGTCGCGCAAGCGATAGTGCCCGCTAAGGCGGGCACTATCTCTTCATAGTGCCTGCTGCGTTATCCAATGAGATTGCAGCGATTTATCACGTCATGCACTAATTGCTTATAATAGTATTATTAGCTATTGGTACATATTATGTATACTCTTAGTCTATTACCAGGGCAGTCCCGGTGACTGACTCACTGGCAGTGGCACCCATATTACAGTTTTCTATATCACATCAATGATCCTTGAACACATCATATTACAATCTACTACTATTATTTATCATTATTATTATTATATTATTTCTATGCTGGCAACCGAGCTCTATCTATATTATATCACATCATTATATTACATCATAATATTACAGTCTCCTACTAAATTATTTCTATGCTGGCAACCGATCCAAAGAGCTTATAATGATTATGATATGAGCATCTTGACCACTGATCTCTATAATATAATCGATTATATTATATTATATTATTATTATATTATTATATTATTATATTATTATATTATATTAATCGATTATATTAATATAATCTCGATTATATTATAGAGATCAGTGATCTTGACAGCTCTTTGACCGATCTCACTAGATCTCACTCTAGATCTCACTTGTTGACAGCGCCACCAATTGGCAAGAATAGAAGATAATGTAATAAAATGTCGAGCCCCACACCTGCCCTAGACTGGTACTCGCTCCCACCTCGATTACTCGACGGTGTAGCCATCGAGTAACTAAGCCGAGAGGTGGGAGCGAGTACCAGTCTACACCTGCCCTGGCACACCTGGGCGGTTACATTCTTCTGTATTGAAAACCAGTAGCGGCGTGACGGCGTCGATGCTTTATACATTCACATTTAAAGATGGAGGATGTTTCTACAGTTGTTGTCGTGTTACTGGCGTTGTGTCATACTGGTAAGAACCGAGATCGTTAATTATTCGCGCGTGCATTTATACGGTGACAGTGTTTAATAGCGTACCTTTTCGGTACATTATTCACACATAAATTGGACACAACTGTTGCAGGTCACACAAAAACAGAAGTCGGGGACGTGTATGACTCAACTTGTAGTCGGTTCAAGGATAGAGAACATGGGTCCCAATAAAACCAATGTCATTTACATCAATATAAATTATTAAATATAATATTAATTATTATATCAATATAATAGGTTAGGGTTATGGTTAGGCCTTAGGGTTAGGCACATTGGTTTTATTGGGACCCATGTACGTTCTCTATCATTTGGGCCTGTAGTCTACGTCTACGTCTACATCTGACACAGGCACTTGGGACAGAGTCAGTAAAAACTGAAAATAATATGAACGCACATTCACAAATACTACCGTACCTCTCAATTACAGTTCCACTGTTGTGTCACTGTATATCAACTTTCCTTCATAAAAACAAACACCGAACGCTCCCGCACTCGCCGCTGCGAGTGTGCTGTGTCGCCATTAGTTCTAGTACTATAGCCCGCTTACATTAATTGCCACTGCCAGCGGCAACTGTACGCGGGCTATAGTACTAGAGCTATGTCGCCATTAGCTCTAGTACTATAGCCCGCGTACAGTTGCCGCTTTGAGACCAAATTGTATATATATATATATCAGGAGTAGATAATAGGGAAGGAGTGTGACATCAATAAACAAGGGAAATTCGTCATTTACTAGCCTTAGAATACCTACGATTTACTACGCGTAACGCAACCAACTTGAGCTCAAATCGTACACAGTACATTTGCCTAGCATCGTGCTAAATCGTTTCCTCGTATACACCCGCAATCCGGAGATAGAGACTAAAACGTACGACACGATTATCCATTCTGTTGCCAGCACACAGAATCCAATAGACGCAAAACTTGAAACAAAAGGCAGCTACTAACGCGCTATTGCTAACTCGGCGAGGCATGTGGCTCGCTGGGAGATTAGGCATCAACGCAACACTCGGCGAGATAACCTTTGACCCGGTACACAGCTACATACCGGCATACCGACATACAGCTGGCATGCCCCCACGCACGCACGCCAACCGCAATCAGCAGCAGATCGGGCTCAAATCTCCCAGCGAGCCACATTGCCCGCCGAGTTAGCAATAGCGCGTTAGTAGCTGCCTTTTGTTTCAAGTTTTGCGCCTATTGGATTCTGTGTGCTGGCAACAGAATGGATAATCGTGTCATACGTTTTAGTCTCTCTATCTCCGGATTGCGGGTGTATACGAGGAAACGATTTAGCACGATGCTAGGCGAATGTACTGTGTACGATTTGCGCTCAAGTTGGTTGAGTTACGCGTAGTAAATCGTAGGTATTCTAAGGCTAGTAAATGACGAATTTCCCTTGTTTATTGAAGTCACACTCCTTCCCTATTATCTACTCCTGATATATATATATACAATCAAGAGTAGATAATAGAGTCTCTATAATCTACTCTTGATACAATGTATATATATATATATGTATATTATATATATACATTGTATATATATATATATATATATACATATATATACACTAGGGGTCAGTGATACATATGGTATTTTGTTCTAAAGTAAAACAATGTGGCTATCTTTGTCAGGCTGCAAAGATATATGATCCCAGTTATTACCTAGGTAATGCTATTTATTGCATTCATAAGGTTGCATTCATTCTGGCTATTTCATTTTTTCACTGGGTGTGGGCCAGGGTGCATCTTGGTTGATAAGAGAGGTGCTTTGTTGTTGTTGTTGTTTTTTGTGGCTAATGCTGCTGCTGCTTCTGCTGCTGTTGCTGCTGTTGCTGCTGCAGTACCGAAGTTATTGTCGTAGATTACAGGGAGGAAAATCTTTTGCAGTTTCATGGATTTCTGATTTTTTTAGCTGTTAGTACTGATTTGGATAAATTCAAAGAGAAAATTTAGGTGGGGTTAGAATACCTTACGTGATTTAAAGACCAGACTTAGCCCGATGTCTCATAAACTATAGTCATGGGAATTGGTTGGAATTCCATCATCAATCATCGGTTGCACGCAACCGATCGATGATTGAAGATAATCAGTTGAATGTTATTGATCGCGGCTACCAGATGTTGAAATATATTATATATCATATAATACAGTATTTTTTTATAATACAATATTCGAAAAGCTATATGACAGTATTATGCATGCTTATGTTTGGTGCAGGTTATATTTACTGTCTTCATGCTGTATAGTAACCAAACTAAACACAATAATAAAATTAAGTGTCATTTCATCAGTGTTTGCAAATTTTATTAAAAAATGTGAAAAAAACTTTTTTGATTGATTATTTATTTTCATAATCAAGCGCTTATACGTATAGTCGGTTGCTGCAAACGACTGACTTTCGATTATAATCGATCATCGGGACATCACTATCATAAAGTCGGATCACATTGTTAGAGAGCAACTTGTTTAGTTTAGTAAAACTATGGAGTATTAACTAAGTCGAGTGTATTCCAGATTGTGACTGTAGGTATTTTGTACACCATTTGTCGTTGCAATTTTTTGTTCAATTATGATTTCAGATTTTTTTGTCGGTCATTCTCATCCCTGATCCTGAGGTCATGATTGCTTGTTGACAGGTCTAGCCATAAGATGCTACTCATGTACAGTTCCTCCATATCCAGGAGCGGATCTTCATACAAATAAACGCAACATCTGTCCAGACATTAGTTGTCCGGGACCAAAGGAGGAACAAGTATGTGTGAAGATTACTGATAACAGAGGAAGTAAGTATCACAGTAATATTAATAATAATAACAATAATAATAATAATAATTTAGAATGGATATTCTGGTGTAAACTGTATGTATTTCCCTCCAGAGTACTCAGTCACTATATATATATATATATATATATATATTGTGTGTCGGAGATTATTGTCACAGAGACAATTAGGAATCACCATCATGGGAGAGAAAAACCACCCAGTCTGAAATAGGCTTGAATAATATATTTACGGTGACCTGTTGTGCAGACGTGTTTCATAGCAGTTTTGCACATGAATAAGAGAGAGAGAGAGAGAGAGAGCTAATTTTGTCTATTACGTATTTACCTTTGTCACTTTTTGTCATACTGGGTTTTGTCATGAAAGTATGTACACATTGTTTCTAGGCGAAGAGGTCATCGTAAGAGGGTGCCTTTGGGACCTCAGATCAAGTAACTGGGCTCCTCTGCTCCCTGGAGATGTATTTACAGGTATGTGACTTACTTATTTAACAGTGAAAATAAATCATGCTTAGGATATGCGCATTAAAACAGTTCTTTGTCTCCATGGAATCTTTATTAATTTATATATGTTTACAGCTGATTCAGTCCTCCAATCTTTAACATTATCTTCGCAGGATGCCGGAAACCAGCTGTCGATAAATACCTAACGCCTAATGACTACTATCTGAACGTGTACAAGCAACCACACGAATCCATAGACTTCTGCTTCTGCAATGACTGGATATGGTGCAATGGCGCACCACAACTGGTGAAGTCGGCCATCCTGCCTGGTTTACTATTGGCTTTGTCGCTGTGGCATTTATTGTACGCATGATGTTAGATCATGTCTTTTGGGTGTACAATCCCTAATAACAGTGAGTTTTAGGAATCTCAATAATTTGTGGTCCCTTCCAATGTCGTTTGGACACCATTGTTGTGTATACATGTGTACATTCCTGTACAGTCACTATCAAAGATAGAAGCATGTCATTGCATTTGGTAAAACAACACAAATGTGTCATTCATACCTGGACATCTGGTAGAAAGATTTTTATGCTGAGATGTTTCTCATTAACCTGAACAACTAATGTTCCAACGTGTTTTTTATTATACTGCTGTCAGTGTGTTTGGTAGCTATCAATTGAAACTTGATTATTCAGTATATATTATGATTGCGTCTTTAGAAATCAAGCTGAACTACTAGGTACTACAGGTATAAATCCATAAGACTGGATGTCCATTTGCAAATTTTTGGCTTTTACCAACTTTCAATCGCTCATCTAAATTCGTCAATGTTTTTATATGTACGTGAAAGTCTCTCTCCCTCTATATTACAGTCATGCATCATTTGGACACGTACGCATTTTATATTCACGTGGTTTGTGCAATTAACTATTCTTTACTTTTAAGAATACTCATTTATGGAATCTCGTGTTACAATCAATTTCCATCATTTACATTAAGTTTATTTGGTAGTCTACACATTGGAACCGTCAATTACAGTACTGATCATGTACGTTGTAGGAGAATGAAAAATGCTTTTCCAATACGTTATTAACCTGTGTACATGAGATGGCAAAGCAAGTACGTATAAGCAAAATGCAACGAGAATTTGTGTGTGCAGTTGTGTCTATAAGGCCACTATAAGGTAAGAACTCATTTGGATATAGCATATGTGTATCAACCTCTAATAGTTTAGACATTTAGGTAAAATGGCAAAAGAGTTTTTAACATAATTATCCTGTAGCATTAGCTATAGTGTGTGGGGCGAGGTGTTTGGTGTGGGTAGTAGACAGAGGGCATGTCACATTTATACATTGTGAGTTATCGGTTTTCAGAAGATGAGCAGTATTTTTCACATTGTTAGAAGAATAACAGTAGGGTTTCTTGTGTCTCCTGTTATATCTACACGTTTATGTAATCATGTAAAGCGGGCATTGTGATTAGCACAGCTGCTCGTTCTGTTTTAGTGCGTCCGCTATGAATTTCGGTATATATATCTGCATTTAAGTGTTTTTACGGTGTCTGCTGCTACATTCACATGTAAATAAAATACTTTTTTTAAACTTTTACACGATTTTGTATGGTACGGTTAACTGTATTATCCTTCACATTGTATTTTCACCATTAAACAAATATGTGTATTAAATATATAATGTTGCGCGTTTCATCAACAAGGGCCCGAACGAAAAATAGCCATTACATTGACACCTATTCCTTACTGGCAGGAATACCATGGCGTGCCCATTTTTTAGCTCATCTGACACGGTCACATACAGCTTTTAGAGTGGCATGGGCTTCCGTCCGTCCATCCGACGTCAAACAATATGGGGACAAATCTAAATGGCTGGACGTAAATCTAAAAAGACATTTGCATGTCGAATCAGGGGGTCAACCGTGAGAAAGAGGGGAACAAGGAGGCATATGAGGAAATTTGGAATTGTGGCACAAATGAAGTGGCTTCAACTATTCTTGTTATTAGCTCATATGCTCTGGGTATAACCCTAACCCTAACAAGGCAACGGAGGCTCTGCCGCAGAAGGCAACGTAAAGTCGACTGTTATAGAGCCAAGGACGACTCAAGGTGTATAGTCTGTCAGACTGTCACCCTAAGTAAACGTAAGGTTCCATGTCGAACTGCGTACGATCGGGGACAGAGCCGATTTACTAATTAATTATTAATTAATTATTAATTACGTTTTGAGGCATGGAAGGTTCAGTAAAGTGCGCAAGACCATGCCTGAATTCGCATGACACGCATATAAATCGGGACTCACCTTAAGGAAATGAGTCGGGTTGCTAATTAGACGCACCGGTTAATCGCTAATAAACCATGGTCCCAGTAATATTCTCCCAAGTATTTCTATACAACGTAGCTGGATTCTAATCTGTTGCAATGGTTTTAAAATATTTACGACGTATAGCCTACATATTGATTAACTGTAAGTGAAAACGGTAGCTTGAATTAAATTGGCCAGACAAAATAACGTGATGTATACAATGATTTACGGCTCATACATCACAAATTGTCATGAACGAGCTCGTCTGAAAACATCAAATAGCAACACTACTGTTAAAATCTCACCGTAACATATTTATTATCAAAATAAAGACTATACAGCACCCAGTGATGATTTACAAACTTTGCCAGCAATATTTCACACATAGTTGGCATGTAGCTAGCTATTTATACGATTCTACGCTATACGTACATAGTGTATAATACAGCTTTGAATACATTATAATTCGATGTATTGTGTAATAGCTTGCGAACTGTGTGGTGAGAATGTTAGGGAGCATTCTCATGGTCGGAACTAATTCAGAAACTTCATGATTCCCTAAATGTTAATTACAATACACAAATCCATGGATCATTATATGAATTGTCAAACAGATGATCAGAGCTGCTGTCAAACTAGTATTATATAGCCAAAATAACGTTTTTGTAATTACAAATATATAGCTACAACATTGCCGAGTAGAATATATATAATAGCTGCTACATCACTACATAATATATATATATATACAGGCCCGTAGCCAGGGGGGGTTCGGGGGGTTCGAACGAACCCCCCCCCCCTCGAGACTCCCTCCCTCAAGCAAAAAATCTTTTTTTTGAAAATTTGCAAAAATTTCACCTCAGGTCGCTCCATTTTAGTGTAATAATTGCAAAATCTCCATCGTGCGGGAGGGTGAACAGTGAACACCCCCCTCCCACACCCTCCTCCCCCAGCTCGGTCGCTTGGCTCCCTCGCCTGGTCGCTTCGCGCCCGAGGAGCAGGGGCGTGTACAGGGGGGTCCAGGGAGTCCGGACCCCCCTTGCTCGCGCAGAAAACGCATCTGAGGGGGTGTAATTTAAAAAAATTTTAAAGACCCCCCCTTCGCGTGCTCGCAACTATGGGTTACGGTTAGACCCCTGGTACAAATCCTGTATACGCCCCTGCGAGCAAATTGCAACATGAAAACGCACCCGCCCACACTCAGAAAGCTGGCTACGGGCCTGTATATATATATATATATATATATATAATTACCTTGCTACAAGGTAAACATCTCTTTAGAAACATAGATAGCTTAGCACCAGTACTAGCAATCGCGCACTTGGAACATAATTCGACATATTACATCACTATATTACATCACTATCCCATAAATCAGCTCATTTGGCGTTGCTGCCAATTATCAATTTTTGCAAAAATATCTGAAATTAAAATTCCTGATCTCTGACTTAGACTTATTGATCCATTCAAGCACATGTTACAAACAGCTACAATATACAATCACAATGTTATACTAAGTGCTATTGAATATATACCACAAGTTCAAACTGAATGTAGTGCCATTTCATATGAAGCTCCTATCAAGTAAATTGCTTATAAAAGTATATGCTGATGTATATATAAAGAAATGCTTGCACATTTACTCTGTGAAATATTATCTTGCGAAATGTTATCAAAGAGATTGACACTATTTTCATTACTGAAGTTTTAGGCATTTATAATTAAATGACGCTGTGAGTCTACAGGCTCTGTAGACGCAAAAACTTTCATGCGTGGATACCTTTGTAATGGAATGTATCACATTCTACCACATAAAACCTTACACAGCAAAAAAACCTAATAAATCTGTTAAACCTGATAAATCTGTTTCACAGGAGATATGGAAGGGCCAATGGGACTTTTCTAACATTAAACAAGAGCCGCAGAGCGTCTGGACTCATCTGAGGTCTGTTGCTACGGTTATAAACGTAACATTCAAGTCGTGCGTAGTGACACCTTTGTTAGGCGCAGATATGCAGATACGCAGTTGCGTACACATCATTTCAGCAACCTTCTGCATTCTGCATACCTCCGAACAAATCCCATTGGTTAATACAAATCGCGTGCCTGAAACTCCTGTTTTATGGTGCATTGTGACCCTAACCCTAACCCTATTAAAAAAAAAAAAAATTAATTGTAAAAAAAAATTGTTGTTATTAAATTGTTGTCAATAAATCATGTAAATATTTACGTTAATTGGAAAAAATAGTTAAATGGATAAAGATAGAAAAATACAGAAAACAGGTAAATAATAAAAAATCAGATGGGATTCGATCCAATGACCTTTGAGCCGAGACGCCTGTGCTGTAGGCGTTCGGCTATCCAGGCTTATTGGGTTTCTAGAATATGGATGTGCCATGAATATGACAACACTGATGTCATTGAGGCAGTTCAGGAATCCATGTTTAACCCTCCTCTTGAGGGTCAAAAGGTTATCAGATACTTACTCTTCGCACGTCAGTGGAAAGCACATTTCATGGTCCTTTCAATAAAGTGATAATAATGATAGGTCAGCGCTGAAACAAAAAAGTTTTTCACTCTGTCCATTAGGCAGATGTCCTCAGAAAATGTCTGATATCTGACCTTTCCCCCACTGCCCTTTGACCTGTGACCTCCAATTTCGCACTGGTGATGGGTTTCCTGCCCATCACACTCTACACCGAATATTAAGAGCATAGGTCGAGCGGTTAAGATTTGTGCCGTAATTCTGTATTTCCTCCTATACCTTAAGTTAAGGGGGAAATATTCCCCCTCCGTTTACACATCTTGACCTTTGACCCTTGACCCCCAAATTTGTCATCCTGAGTAATTTTCACGATCCCCCGCCCCCGATGTCCCGAATATCGTGACTGTACGTCGAGCGGTTTAGATTTGTGTCCAACTGTTGACGGACGGACGCACAGACGATCATGCGATTCTACAAGCTGCATCTGACTACGTCTGATGAGCTCAAAATACACGTACACTTTCTATACACATACAAATACTAATTACGTCCTATATAGCTCACAAACATGCAAAAATCATACTGTATTTAAAATAGACATTCGATTGGCTGATTCTTTTTCAAAAATACATCTTTGCTACTAAGCTCAAGGCACAAAAATATGAAGCTCCATGAAGCTATCTATATATGGTCGCTCTATAAAGTATATTTTCCCATGATAAGTCGCATACCAAGTTTAGTGATGTTTGTCAGCCATGCTACGATGGCTAATGGCTGCATCATCTTGATATCCTCCTGCATGCTAATTCATAATATTACGAAATATTAAAAAATAACATGATTTTGTCTCAGATAGCTGCACTTACTATTACCTGCGCTAATCTACACATCAAATCTTTAAATGATTTTTAAATTAAATGTAAAAATAAAGCATCGCATAAATATAATTTACAAGTTCATGAGAACATTTTCAGCAAAGTAACAACTATAGCCTACATATATACTGGTTTTGCTACATACTGTAGATATTTGATATTTAATTGTCTGGGGGCAGAGAAGAGAAAAATATTGGGAGCATTTTACAATTGAAATAGTTTACATACTAGCACAATAAATTGAGCATATTACGAAGATTTAACAATAAACAGGAAGTAAATAATTTACAATAGGAACATTACCATGTACATTATCACCATGAACCCACGTAGTTAGGTTCATACCATAACTATGATCTATACCATCAAGTATGCTATATACCATTCGTCACATAGGTATATACCATCATGTATCAATCCAACAATAAAATGTTTATCTTCTATATTTTTTGGAAAAGGTTGCTCAGCAAAGGTTTGTAAAATTTTACCATGGTTTGGATTAGACACCAGATGAAATATGATACTGTCATCAGACTGCATACCAGTGGCAGATCTTGAATGGAGTTGGGGGGTTGCACCCCCCCCCCCCGTTCAGCCACTGACTAATGTTATGATACTAGTAAAATGGGGCCAAAAATAAAAAAGTCAGTCTGCAGGCTGATAGAAACTGGGGATTTTCCCTGGGACCGCACAGCTGCCTGAATTTTCCAGGTGGGAGGGGGCGTGCCCCCGGACCACCCTAGCACCGCGTGCCTTCGGCATGCCTTCACTCAATTATCAACCCCCCCCCCTAGATCCGCCCATGCACACCATTGTGGTATTTTTTGAAGATTCACAAAGCCTTAGAGTAAGTATCCATGTAAGAGAGTAGTTCACACGCTTAATGAATACTTGATAAAAAACCAAGTACATAGATTCCTAATTTAAACATATATGCAGGAGCAACTGATTATTAATTCTCTCCTGTCTTGATTATCACCGGTCAATTAATTTAATGAAGGGGGGCCTATATAGTTTACTGACCTACACAATAAAGTGTTTAACTAACACTACTGCAACATGCTACATTGACTACCAGGCATGAAGCCTGATGTCAACCATTCACAACTACAACCTTCATCACTATCAAAAGTTATTAAAAACCAAGTTCTCCTCTAAGAGCTGTGCGCTGCAACTCAGGCTCAGTTAAATTGACTACACTCACTTTGCTAGCTACTGACATCACTCTTATAATCACAGGTTTTTTTCACTGGGTGGAGGTTTTAGCATTCGACCATGACTGAAGGTCATTTCATCTAAAGTGGTGGTGAATCGGCTCACCTAGTTGCGATGGGAAAAAACTATGAACATTTATCTGGTTGGAGATGGAGTGCCAATAATAATAATACGTTATGAAAACATACAAAAACTCCAATGACGACTTAATTGCCTCAACTGTGCAAGATCTATTCGGAGCAAAGCGCTGAGCATATAAGCAACGAGATTTGAACCACATGAACTATTGATGCAAACGTGCGCCGCACTACTGAAACACCAACTTCAATCGTCATGGCCATGATCGCTCCTGTAGAGATACACGATGAACGTGAAGACGATGACAAGATTCATTACGGTGAGCAGACAGAGGGCGCCGATGCTCCATGTGAACGGGAGTACATCGCCAGCATCCAGAACATCATCCTTGCGTTGCTTCATGTCGATGAGCAGCGCGTTGATCTGCTCGTTTGTTGCCATGACGCTCGACATGTGAAACAACATGTGGGAATGTCCGATGAAGTCAAACTTACCCGGCATAAAGCGCTCGGGGATGTGTGTCGCGTACAAGAAGCATGTTACGAATGCCAACACAAACTGCTTGCGGAACACCCAGTGCGAATTGGCATAAGGATCCTCGGCAGCGTACAGTGATAGACGGTACATGACAGGCGCACTCACCCAGAAGTACATGACGCAGAACGCGGCAATCTTGAGAGTCTTCGAGTACTTGAAATGCTCTAAGAGCAGGCGTGACAGGCAGGTAACGACTGTGCACAGCAGGCATACCGCAAAGCAGCTGTACAAGTAGAGCGTGGCATAGGTGGTACCAAGCAGCATAGCCGGCATCGCGTAGGCACGGTACGCGATTGCAACACCGAACGCGTAGAAGCTGAGGCCGGCGTAGTCGAAAAAGAAGCAAATGTGACGCGTTCGGTGCGACATGCTGCATAAGAGATGCGCAAACGAGCTGCTGAATGGGTATGCACATGACGCGATCATGAAGGCAAACAGCGGCCACGAGTACCGGTCGTTGATGAAGTCGTGCGTGTCAAGCAGGAAGATAAGATGCCAGAAAAAGTACCAGGCAGGAACGAAGTGTGTCCAGAAGTTCAGCGTCTCATTGTGAACATCAAATATGCTGCGCAGGCAGTCGGTCAGTGAGAATCGATAGCGGTAACCTGAATGATGGACAAGCACATATGTCAGCAGCTTTTCGGTGACTGGGCGTTAGCTAAATAGCACCAGATGACGTTAGTACAGTAGCACACTCTTGTTTATAACTTGAGAAAACGTCAAAAGATACACGAAATCTTAGTAATAAAGAAAGATATGAAAAAACAAGAAATCATTAAGAAACATACAAACATGTGAAATAGACTTCTAAAGTGCTTGACGTACCTGACAATATGAACTTCTCCTGGTAGTGTGGCGGTACCTGGTGGCAATACAGGACCTTCCCATTATTGTTCAACATGATGACGGTAAGGGGAGTAAATCCATACAGACCAGAGATGAGTGTTGCCACCTCTTCTCAAACTTTCTTCGTTGTCAAGGTTTATGGATTTCTATCGCCTGAATAATAGCAAATAAGAACACACAATACAAACGTGTACAAGTTTTTTACAAGCCTTGAAATGCCACAGTTCAGTAGATTTGCATGACAAAAACTTAACAATAGATGCATACCGATTCTAAAATTAGCCACGATCTTATCACTTGTGTACGAAATTTACTAGTTCATTCAATGTACATAACTTCAGGCGTAAAACAAATGTTCTACTTTCGAGGGTTTGTAGTTCGTGGTCTTAATGGGGGCTTATGTCGGGCTTGCGGGCCGACTCGACTGGAAGCAACTGGCTGCAATTCACTGCGACTGCAGTGCTTAGGTCGGTCGACTGCGACGCGACTGCCTGCGACTGGCCGCCACTAGTTGCTCGGAATAGAACAGTGGGCAACTGGACGCAACTAGTCGCTGCCGATCGCTTCCAGTTGCTCGAAATCCAGTTGCTTCCAGTCGAGTCGGCTCGCAAGCCTCGCATAAGCCCCCCTTTAGTGTTAGTGAAATTGTCACTGCCTTGTTACACGACTATAAAGTAGCACGACTGTGGTTTTATTGGTCTAACAGTGACACTTTCAAAGACAGCGACTCACCAGTTAAATATACTAGTCTGCCTAATAAATATACCTAGTCAACAGATCAGTGATTATCGGCACAGACACATATGATACAGAGTATGCTACACTTCATTGCGCATACTAGAAAAAAAAATTCAGATTTTGTCAGTTTTCCGTGCCTACATAATCATGTGTCATGATATCAATACAGATATTCATACCGAGGCGAACTAGTAAAAGGTGTGGCTGGTGATTTTTAATACCGACTCAGTGGCTGCCATTAATTTGACGGTCGACTGCTTTCTGAGTTTCTCCTAACACTAACACTAACACTAACAGTAACACTAACAGTAACAACTCAGCATCGTTACTAAGAGTAAGACGGCCATAACTCATCTTTAAAAAGATTATTCATAAGCTATATTACATAGGGCAACCTAATAACCCTAAATGCGATGTGTAAACTTACCTGAAAGTGAAAGTGACACCCAAAGTAAAGTAAACGGACAAGACCACGCCTTCGACATAACTAGTGTAGCGTGAAGTAAATAGGATTGGCATTGCCATTTGCCAAGAGCTCGACACGAGCGTTAGCACGAGTACCATAGATGTGCATTGATTAAAATACTCTACGCTGAGAACGGAGTAAAACGACGGACGTCCCAATCAATCCTATCGAACCGAGGTTATCTCGCAAAATCTCGTGGCGCTAGCTGTACCAAAAACTAGACGTATTCCTGAGGCGTGTTCAGGAGAGCGAGCGCTCGATGCGAACGCGCGATGAACGAACGCAGCGCCTCCTGAACGATACACGAGCGCTCGCTGTGTGCTCGCTGTCCGCTCGCCTTGATCAAAGATGGCGGCCCCCATGGAGGGACATGCGTCTAAACAGAGGAATTGCTCCGACCTGTGATTGGAGGATAAAAATAGACCCCGCCTACTCTCGCCGCATACGCTATGCTATGACGGGTAGGAACGTGTACTAACGATCATATGGAGCGAACGATTTGAGTTATATTTCTATAAATTCTAGCTATTATAGACACATGTCTTAGCCTT